AATCTGCAACAAGCAGAAGCGTTGACAACGATGAGAGGGAGATCAACAGAACGTGGCCAAAGCAGTAGTCATAAACATGGTAGATCGAAGTCGAGGAGCAAGAAGAATTTAAAGTGCTACCACTGTGGAAAGAAGGGTCACTTGAAGAAGGATTGTTAGAGTCTAAATAAAAACTCCAATCCACAAGGTAATACCGCAAACACTTCAGATGATGGAGATGCTCTATGCTGTGAAGCGTCAACCACCGTGGAAGGCAGAAAAAGATTTGCAAATATATGGCTCATTGATTCGGGAGCGACATATCACATGACCTCAATAAGAGAATGGTTCCATCATTATGAACCTGTCTCAGGATGATCTGTGTATAGTTGCAATGATCATGCCTTAGAGATCGTTGGTGTGGGAACCATCAAATTGAAGATGTATGATGGAACAATTAAAGTTGTTCGAGATGTGCGCCACGTGAAAGGTCTGAAGAAAAATTTATTATCCTACGGATTGTTGGACAATAATTCTAGCAAGATTGAAACACGGAAAGGAATCATGAAGGTGTTCCGTGGAGCGCTTGTGGTGCTGAAAGGTGAAAAGATAGCTGCAAACTTGTACATGCTGAAGAGAGAGACATTGCTAGAAGCAGAAGCCTCTGTTGCCTCATGTAGTTCAGATTCTGCAATGCTATGGCATAAGAAACTTGGACACATGTCAGAACAAGGAATGAAAGTCCTTGTGGAGCAAAAGCTACTTCCAGGCTTAACAAAGGTATCACTTACTTTATGTGAGCATTGCATAACAAGTAAGCAGCACCGGTTGAAATTCAACATATCAAATTCTAGAGGCAAAAGTGTTCTAGAACTGGTTTACTCTGACGTATGGAAAGCAACAGTTACATCCCTAGGCGGAGCAAAATATTTTGTCTCATTTATTGATACTACTCCAGGAGATGTTGGGTGTACCCTATTAAGAAGAAGTCCGATGTGTTTTCAACTTTCAAAAACTTCAAAGCGCGGGTGGAACTTGATTCTGGAAATAAAATCAAGTGTTTCAGAACAGATAATGGAGGAGAATACACAAGTGAAGAATTTGATGACTTTTGCAGAAAAGAAGGCATCAAAATACAGTTCACAGTGGCGAACACTCCTCAACAAAATAGAGTGGCAGAGCGGATGAACAAAACCTTGTTAGAAAGAACAAGAGCAATGTTGAGGGATGCAGGCCTAGAAAAATCATTCTGGGCAGAAGCAGTCAATACCGCCTGTTATTTGGTGAATCGAGCTCCATCAACTACAATAGAGCTGAAGACACCAATGGAGATGTGGACTGGAAAACCAGCTGATTATTCAAACCTCCATATATTTGGAAGTATAGTGTACGTGATGTACAACTCCCAAGAAATTTCAAAGCTGGATCCAAAATCCAGGAAATGCGAATTCTTGGGGTATGCTGATGGAGTAAAGGGGTATCGCTTGTGGGATCCCACTGCCCGCAAAGTGATCATTAGTAGAGATGTTATCTTTGTAGAAGATAAACTACAAAGAAAAGAAGACGATGATAGCGCTGAAAAGTCAGAGACTACTCAGATACATGTGGAAAAAGAGTTTGAAGAAGGAGATTCTTCTGAAGCAGAACCAGCACATGATGAACAAGAACCAGAGAGTTTTGAAGCTCCAACAACTCGTCGATCAGATCGTGTGAGAAGACGTCCCAATTGGCACTCAGATTATGTTATAGAAGGTAATATTGCATACTGCCTTTTAACAGAGAACGGTGAGCCATCAACATACCAGGAGGCAATAAACAGCTCAGATGCTTCACTGTGGATGATGACGATGCAAGAAGAAATCGAAGCCCTTCATAAAAATAATACATGGGACCTTGTGCCACTACCACAAGGAAGGAAGCCAATTGGTAACAAATGGGTCTTCACAATAAAGCGAAATGGTGACGATCAAGTTGAGAGGTATCGTGCAAAACTGGTGGTCAAAGGATATGCTCAAAAAGAATGTATTGATTTCAATGAAATATTTTCTCCTGTGGTTCGACTAACAACAGTTCGTGTAGTTTTGGCAATGTGTGCTACATTGAACTTACATCTATAGCAGCTAGATGTTAAAACAAATTTTCTTCATGGAAATCTTGAAGAAGAGATTTATATGCTCCAGCCTAAAGGTTTTGAAGAAGAAGAAAAGAAGAACTTGGTTTGCAGGTTGAACAAATCTCTGTACGGTCTAAAGCAGGCGTCGAGGTGTTGGTATAAGAGATTTGATTCCTTCATTATGTGCCTTGGATACAACAGACTTAACGCAGACCCTTGTGCTTATTTCAAGAGGTCTGGTGATAACGATTTTGTTATATTGCTGTTGTATGTAGATGACATGTTGGTTGCAGGACCCAACAAAGATCATATTGAAGAATTGAAGGCACAACTGGCTAGGGAATTTGAAATGAAGGACTTGGGATTAACAAACAAGATTCTAGGGACGCAAATTCATCGAGACAGAAGTAATAGGAAGATTTGGCTTTCACAAAAGAATTACTTGAAGAAGATCTTGTCACGATTCAACATGCAAGATTGAAAGCCAATTTCTACCCCTCTTCCTATTAACTTAAAGTTATCCTCCAGTATGAGTCCTAACAGTGAAGAAGAGATGATGAAGATGTCTCGAGTACCGTATGCATCAGCAGTGGAAAGTTTAATGTTCGCTATGATATGCACAAGACCAGACATTGCACAAGCAGTGGGAGTGGTTAGTCGGTACATGGCGAATCCAGGCATAGAGCATTGGAATACAGTAAAGAGGATCCTGAGATACATCAAAGGGACCTCAAATGTTGCATTATGTTACGGTGGATCAAACTTATTAATCAATGGGTATGTAGATTCTGACTATGCAGGGGATTTGGATAAAAGCAAATCTACTACAGGATATGTGTTCAAAGTTGCTGGTGGAGTTGTAAGCTGGGTTTCAAAATTGCAGTCAGTTGTGGCTACATCCACAACAGAGGCAGAATATATAGCAGCTACACAAGCCAGTAAAGAAGCAATTTGGTTGAAGATGTTATTGGAGGAGCTTGGACACAATCAAGAGCATGCTTTTCTTTTTTTGTGACAGTCAAAGTGCCTTGCATTTAGCAAGGAATCCATCATTTCATTCAAGGACAAAACACATACGAGTTCAGTACCACTTCATTCGTGAAAAGGTGGAAGAAAGAACAGTGTATATGCAGAAGATCCATACCAAAGACAACATAGCAGATTTCATGACAAAGGCGATCAACGCTAATAAATTTACTTGGTGTCGATCCTCGTGTGGTATGTCAGAGACGTAAACAACATGAATGTACAAGGTAGAAAGAATGGTGTGAAGATATGATTATTCCAATCAAATCTTCAAGTGGGAGATTGTTGAAAATTCAAAGGTAGGCACCGAAAATTGAAAGCAAAATCCACCTAATAGAATTTGTCAAAAAGTATATGTTTTTGTTGAATTTTGGTAAAGGGTAAATTACCAAATTTAGTCATTGTAATTTAGGGTATTTACAAATTAGTCTTTAAGTTTCAACTATAAATACCCTAACTCATTTAGCTTCAAAACCATCCCAAAGCATTCTAGATTTCTTCCAATACTATAGAGAATTTAGAGAGTTTATTAAGAGTTGTTTTCTCCTTTTTTTTATCAAGAGAGAATTATCATTGTTTTCTCTTTGGTAGATCGAGAGAGGTTGTAATTCCTATCTTCTCATAGTGAAATTCTTCTACCGTTGCCCATGGTTTTTACCCTAAATTTTTAGGGGTTTTCACATAAATTTTGTGTCTCTTTTATCTTCATTTTTATTTTCTCAAATTATCAGTTGCGATTTTGCTCTATCCGATAGCCGTCTTCCGCAACAGAAATCGTAGTTATGGCCGATGTCTTTCTCGCAAGCAAGTTTAGGTCGCGAGGACACTGCTACGTCATGGTTTGTAAATATTTCCTTGGCCAACTCCGAACTACTGACCACCATGGCTGGTTGCATGCTGATCCTGATGGAAAACATTGGTCCATGCTTGTCGGTTTAAGTCTCCCAGTGCCAAGTATGGAAGCTTGTATCCTGCTAATACATGGAGATGACCGATTAAAGGTTATCTTCCGCCAGCTTCTGGTGGTTTTTGAGAGTTCAAAGACTTTCTAGATCGACGATAGACCGTTCAAAGCTTGAATTGTTGCTCTATGTCCGTCAGACAGAGCTGATCCGCAACAGAGAAGATGAACAAGAAGTTGGGGTGTGGTGAAGCTAGGGTTTCGGAAAAAAACATATTAAAAGAAATGCATAAGTATAATAACAAAATTAGTACCCAAAGTTTATACAAATAGTCACTTTGTTCCATGTTCTTTTTTAAATAATTTTAACCCTCGACATTTTAATTTTGGTCAAAATAGTCTATATTTGATTAAAATCGTTAATTGATTTACGGTCAACACATATTACTAAAATGATATTTTTACACGTATTTAATTGATGCAAAGTGATTCCGTGGTCTAGAAGAGGGCCTAAAGACAACATCTATCTCTAAGATATGGTCTAGAAGAATATTACGATTCCAACATCTATCTTTGAGACATGGTCTAGAAGATTATTACAATTTCTTGCTAAACATCTTTATTTAAATCTAAATCATGTCCTAAATTCAAGCTTTATTGCACTCTTCGATCAAGTCCTTCAAAATTTGTCTTGAAATAATAAATTATATATAAAACATGAATCTCAAACATAAGGGCTATATCTTAATATAGAACACCTAGTGGAAAAAAAGGCGCATTTCAATAGAAGATTCAATGGCTTTCCTTTTTTTTTCTTCTTCTAATTAGATAATCAAATAAGTCTTTTTGTCCTAATTAACCGTAAGGGAAGATTATTTCATTAAATACATTGAGTTTTCCTTTTTTTTATTGTCCATAATCAGAGTTAGTGACACCTCTAAATTTTGTTAAATCTTAGGAGTAAAAAATTATGACATGAGTGATATAAATATATATGGAGTCACACAGATACACATTGAGGCGAACATACCAGAATGCCCTTTCTAAGCATGAACAACTTGTATTTCTACCAATAATCCCCACAAGAGCAAACTCCATCCTTGAAATGATGAAAACGGTTTGCATCCCTCACAATTATTTCCCTGTTAACAAGCTTTGAAATAAGCTTAGTGGCAGAATGACAATTAATACATGCCCGCAGATTCTTTGTTATCCTAAGTGTAGTTCCTTGTGCAGTACTTATTAGCCCAAATGCAATAGCTAGCCTTTCACTGTGATTGCAAAGTGTTTCCTCCATCTCTTCATCATTCAAGTCATGCAAGGAAGAATTTTTATCTGGAACAAATCCGGCTTGCTTCAACCTCCTCTCTAGTGACTCAAGTTCCTCGTAAATCTCCTTTGATCTCTGGTGTGACTTGTCTCCTACACGGAATGCTTCAAGTTTCCCATTGATCTCGATTAAACTATGCCCCAGGTCCTTACTTAGTCCCTTCTCTCTCATCAAAACTCGTACCTTTGCAACATGATCCCACATTCTTGCAGATGCATAGAGATTGGAAAGCTGCACGTAATGCCCTGTATTATAAGATTCAACTGAGAAAAGCCGTTCTGCGGCATATTCTCCAAGTGTCACATGGCGATGAATCTTGCAAGCACTTAGAAGTGCACCCCATACCGATACACCTGGTTCTATTGGCATTTTCATAATAAAACCATAAGCTTGATCCAGATAACCAGAACGTCCAAGAAGATCAACTACACATGCATAATGCTGGTGACGGGGCTCGATTCCATAGTCTTTCATAGAGTGGAAAAGTTGCCATCCATCCTCCACAAGACCTGAATGGTTGCAAGCTATAAGAAGTCCAAGAAAAGTTACTTCATTAGGGTGGATACCAGCCTGATTCATCAACCGATAAAGGTCTAACGCTTCTCTCCCCCTACCATGCAATCCATATCCCACAATCATGGCGCTCCACACAACAACATCTTTATCAAGTGTTCTATCGAAGACTATACGGGCCATATCAACATTTCCACATTTTGCATACATATCAATGAGAGCCGAGTTGACAAAAATATCATATCTGTGCTCACTTTTATTAATATAATTGTCCATCCATCTAGCTAACTCAAAAGAACCAACTTGTGCACATGCTAAAACAGCAGACCTGGCTGTTATGGAATCAGTTCTGATATTGCGGGAAATCATATCATGGAAAAGTTCAACAGCTTCATCAGCATAACCATTCTTGGCATAACCAGAGATCATGGCATTCCACAAAATCAAATTAGGAACCTTCATTTGATTAAAAAGGGTTCTTGCAACCATCACTTGCCCACATTTTGCATACATAGCAGTCAACGCAATGAGCAAATCGGACTCCAGTTCAAGCCCCATCTTAATCACAAAACTATGAATAGATTTCCCATGTTCCAAATCTTCTACATCTGTATGCGCCCTAATAACACTAACAAGAGCAATCCAATCTGGCATTACACCCATTTCCCGCATTTCATCAAAAAACCTCAAAGCCTCTACAGGCTGTCCATTCTGAGCATAGCCCGAAATCATGGAAGTCCAAGAAACGACATTCCTAATCCCTAACCTCTCAAAAACAACCTTGGCACTTGCCATTTTTCCACATTTTGCATAAAATGCAACAACCCCATTCTGCACAAATACATCCTTTTCAAACCCAAGCCTAAATATCTGTCCATGAACTTGCTGCCCCATTTTGAGACTTGGTAATCCACCACAAGCTTTAAGAACATGAGGGAGGGTATAACCATCAGGACTGACCCATAAAACTTGCATTCTGGAGTACATTTCAATAGCACCAGCAAACAAATTATACTTAGAATAACCTCTAATGACGGCATTCCATAAAAACACATCAGGGTCAGAAAATTCATCGAACACTTTACGTGCATACTCGATTTCCCCAATGTTCGCAGCTGCATTTATTAATTTTGTGATTAAAAACCCGTGTTGCTGGATCCCGAGGAGGAAAAACTTAGCATGAACTTGTGCTAAGCAGGTTTTTTGAGAAGAGTTGTCGATTAAATTGGCAAAAAAGGAATCGACATTGTGAAAAATGGTTGAATCGGCATTTGACGATAAGTTTTTCAGAAAATTGAATGATTGAACTGCTGCGAAGTCGAAAAGTGTGATTTTTGTGGGATAAAGAGAAGTAAGCGAATGAAAAGGGTGTGAAATTTTCGTAAGCAGTGAAGGACTTGAAGCCATGGACCAATAAGAACACGAAGGAGGATGACGGAGAGAACATCGTTAAGAGATGCATAATTATGTTTTTGTCTTTTTTAAGAACTCTTTAGAATTTTGCCAGAAAATTTAGGAGGCTAAACTATACAAATGGTCATTGAAGTATGGTAACTTTCATTTTCATCACTAAAATTTCAAACCAAAACAAAACGGCCATCAATAATATCGTTTTGTAACAAATAACAAATCAATCACTTAAATATTAAATGCTTTTATCACTTATCACAGTCAGTCACAAAAGTCTGATATGAAATGTTTGGACGGACGAGTTAATATAATTTAATCATATTAGAACCTTTTGGCCAATTATTTTGACTCACTTTAAAAATATATATATCTTTTGTTTATTGATAGAAATTCTTGATTTCGGAAAGTAATTTTTAACGAAGCAAAAAATTGAAGAATAAGATGAATAGAAAAATAGGATAAGTGTAGTCGAATATGTGTTCGTCGAGATTAATATTTGACTATCGTATTGATAAGAGTCTAATTACATTTAAGAATTATCTTTGACAGTTCAAAAGCAATAAATTTTTGTCATTTTTTTTTGAAGGAAAGTTGCCGATCGATTATTAGAGGGAGGGAGAGACCGGAAACAGGCCCAACCGAGAACGAGCTCTACAACAGAGGAGAGAAAAGATCGGTGAAAAAAGGTTGCAGGCAGATGGATTACAAAAGTATCGGAGTGAAAGAACGTAAATTTTCGATGCAAAACGATGAAAGGAGGCTGTCAATCCGAGGGATCGACCACCAACGATCCTTTGTACATACATCTTCAACTTCGAGGGGGACTTCTTCAATCCAGACCCACATCTGAGAGAGGGAACGACCCACCGAGGCTAGCTTGTGAGCAACGAAATTAGCAGATCGGCTGACGTGACTGAAAGATAAGATATCAAAATTTACAACCATCTCTTGCACATTACCCATTATCACCCCTAATTCTGATCTATATGTTGTAGGTGATGACATTTTACGGATGACATTCACGGTGTCTCCTTCGACAATCACGTTGCGAAACCCCAAGTTACAGGATAGGCGAACGGTAAATTCACAAGCTTGAGCTTCAGCTAACTCCGGATTTAGAGATGGTTGACTCGAGTAAGAGCTTAATGACATAATCAAACGCTTTGAGTTCCTTAGTATGACTCTCATAGCTGAGGTTGAAGTTGAATAGTCAAAACAGACATCAAAATTTGTTTTGACAAAATCCATTGGATGAGGGCTCCAACTAGCCACTTGATAATTTCTGGATACTGAATTCAAAATAGAATTGCTTTCTGTTTCATTAAAATAATCACGAATAAATTTTGCAACTTCCTTTGGGTGTTGGACTTTATTTTCGTAGACTCTTTTGTTGCAATAGGACCATATTGCCCAAATAGCTATGATATACATGGAACATTGAGATTTGGAGAAACCCTCGAAGAGGTTAGCTAACCATTGAATCCATATTTGTTCCGCAAAGATAACTGGGAGGCGAAGATCGAGCTCGGATAGGACTTCCTTTGTGAAAAGGCACTCTGAATCCAGGTGAGTTACAGTTTCTAGATATTGCTCACATATATGACAGAAGGGGGAAATGTTGATATGCATGTTGATAAGATTAGAGGTCGTAGGTATAAAGTTCCTGCAAACTCTCCAAAAGTTAATTTTAACCTTAGGAGGGATAGGAAGAGACCAGAGAGTATAATAAAAATTAGAAATCACAACGCCATGGTCTTGGGGGAAATCACCCATCAATTTTTATACCCGCTTCGAACAGAATAAAGTCATTTTCTATCATAGGACCAATATAAGAAATCTTGTCGTGGGGAATTAAAAAGAGGAATACTTAGGATATTTGTAGCCTGATCATGCTGAAAGAGATTAATAATAATAGACGTTTCCCAATAGTATGTTTCCTTGTTGATAAGATCTGTTACGGTACTGAATTGTGGGGTGGGAATCACTGAATAGAATTTGCCATTGCCAGGACCAGAAACCCAGGTGTCATTCCAGATGTTAATAGAATCACTGTTACCTACTCTCCAACAGAGACCTTGCTAAAGTAAACGTCTAGTACACCAAATATTGCACCAGGAGTATGAGGGGTAAGGACCCAAGTCAGCTTCCATGAAAGACTTATTTGGAAAATATCAGTCCTTAAGAACTTTTGCAAGTAAGTTGTTAGGATTCGATAGAATCTTCCAACCTTGTTTTACTAAAATAGCAATATTGAACTTGGCTAGGTCAAGAAAGACTAAACACCCATCGATTTAGGGGAATACAATTCCTTCCAGCAAGCCCAATGAATGCCTTTTTTGGAGCTGTTGTTTTGCCACCAGAATTTACACATAATAGACTCTAGATCACGACACAAATCTAGAGGAAAAAGAAAGCACTACATGGCATAAATAGGAATAGCTTGGAGAACTGACTTAACCATCACTTCCTTACCCCCATAGAAAGATACCTTGTGCTCCAACCCTCAACACGACTGTTAATTTTGTCACGTAGGTCAGCAAAAAAGCCCCTTTTGTGTCTATCAATCATAGTTGGGAGACCAAGATACTTCTCTGGGCTCATAGAGATTTGAACACCGAGGTGATTACCCACAAGTGAATGAGTTTGCCTATCCACATTGGCGCTGAAATAGATAAGAGACTTTTCAAAATTGATACGTTGACCTGAAGCTTCCTCATAAGTCGAAAGGATTTCTTTAATAGTTGTAATTCTTGAATGAGACACCTCTCCAAAAAGGATGTTGTAGTCAGCAAAAATTAGATGAGAGAGGGAAATCCCACTTCTACCAACCTTACAACCCTTTAACCGCCCATCAGCCTTAGCTGCATAAAGAAGATAAGACAACCCTTTTGAGCAAAATAAAAATAGATAGGGACTAAGAGGGCAACCCTGGCGTAAACCTCGGGTAGGAGAAAAAGCTTCTCCAGGTACTCCATTGAAGACCACCGAGTAAAAAACATTGGAGATACATTGCATAATGATGTTCACCCAATCAAGAGAAAAGTTCATTTTCAACATCACAACAAAGACAAAGGATCATTCCACCCTGTCGTAAGCCTTACTCATGTCCGAGGATATTATCCGTTATATGTCTCCCAGGGATAAACGCCCCTTGGGTATGATCAATGCACTTATCAAGTAACAGGCACATTCTGTTCACCACGGCTTTAGTAATGATTTTATAAAGCACACTGCACAAACTGATGGGACGGAAATAGCTCATACAAGAGGGAGAATCAACCTTCGAAATGAGGATTATATTGGCATGATTGATGCAGGATAATATAGCCTTACCATTAAGGATAGCAAGGCAAAAAGTAGTAACTTCGCTACCCACGATGCTCCAGTATTTATGGAAAAATAAGGTTGGGAAACCGTCATCACCAGGCGCTTTCAACGGTGCAATGCCAGAAATAGTCGCCCAAATGTCAGAAGCTTGGAATGGACATAAGAGGGATTTGTTATCATGATCGGTTATTTTGGAATCAATATGAGCAACAAGATTCTCGGTATTACTAGGGTTGAAACTAGCAAAAAGATTCCGAAAAAATTCAAAGGCAATTTTTTCCATAGCCGAGTCCTCGAAATGCCACATTCCCTCGTCATCTTGGAGCTGGGAGATTTTATTTTTCCTCTTTTGATAAGAAACCCATTTATGAAAGAAATTAATATTGCAATCATCATACTTAATCCAATTGACCTGGGCATGTTGCTCCCAATAGAGTTCGTCCTTATCCGCCTCCAAATTAAGTGCCAACTTAATATTGTCAATTTCGGCCAAGGAATCTTCATCCGGAGTGAGAATAGACAACTCCTTCAGTTTATACAGAAGCTTTCTTTTCCTTTTAACACGTTTGGTTTTGTTTCGAGAGCTCCACTGCTGAAGAGTAATACCAATCAGATCTGTTTAATAAGGAGATGGTCATTATTATTAGGCCAAAAGCTGAAAATTATCTCTCCACATTCTTCTTCAAGAACCCAGTCTGCATCATAACGAAAACAATGAGTCTGATTGGGAGCAGAGATATCAGCAACCAGATTAATAAGAAGAGGGTAATGGTCCGAAATGGTGTGAATAAGATGGCGAATAGAAAATCAGGAAAAGCTCTATCCAGTGTGAATTAGCAACAGCCCTGTCGAGTCTTTGTCGAATGTTGTTAGAGGGAAATTTACCTCTTTCCCAAGTGTACCATCTCCCCGAATATCCCAGGTCTTAAATATTATAATCTTCAAGAGCAGAACGAAAAGCATCCATATTACGAATTGACTTTGGATGTCCACCTGTTCTTTCAACAACGAGGAGACTTTTATTAAAATCACCTGCTACCGACCAGGGAGCAGCAGGTTCAGAAAAAAGTGATCGGAGGAAGTTCTAGGATGCTTCACGTTGACTTTCATTTGGATTGCCATAAAAACCAGTAAACCTCCAACAAAAATTAGACCTTATACCAGCAACCTCAGCATCAATATGATTATTAGAGAAACTTTTAATAGTAACATCAACTTCATTGGTGCAAGCTAAGGAGAGCCCCCAGCGAGAACCATCAGCACCAACATCAAAACCATTATTAAAACCACACTTACGACGAATACGAGTCATTTTTGTAGCAGAAAGTTTTGTTTCACGAAGAAACAAAATTTAGGATGAGCGTCACGTAGTTTATTACGTAAATGTTTAACAGCCCGTAGTTTCCCCAGACCGCGGACGTTCCAACTAATGATATTCATGGCTATCGACTGGCCTGTTGAACAAGGTCTGCCGATGTCAAGGAGTGAGCACCATTCAAATCCTGTAATTGTGTTGACCCCATTTGGAGAAAATCTGTAGACAGATTTGACTGAGAATCTATAGTTGGCAACGCATGAATATTGCTTCCTGAATTAAAACAACGAAATAGAAATCTTCCTTCACCCAAATCAGAAATCGCAATGCCGTCTATCGGATGCCAAACGTTGGCGAGAGTAGCCTTCATAGATTGTGGATTCACCACGCTGGATGTCAAAAACTTGCCTACAA